TTGGTGCCAGTGAATTCTTTATTTTAGAGGGACAGTTGGTGGGATTTGTTTGCCCCCCTGTCAAGATATATTGTTGGTGCCATATTCGAGCCTTTATAGGGCGCACCTGCTAGTTTGTAAAAATAAAAGTCCATTCATGTGTGAAATTCTCAGTTAGAGATCTAGACAGATGTACTATAAAATTGTAAAATCTACTATAAGTCCCGAAAATATAGCAGTAATTTTTGTTTCTATAATATATTAAGTTACATAAGTTATTAGCAGACAGTTCTTACTCCATTGTGTGTTTAAAAGTCTACTGGTATTAGAGGCATATATTTATTTCTTTATTTCCTATATTTATACCTCACCCTTCTCCCCCTGAAAGGGGACTCAGTTTTGGTCTCATTTGCATAAGAAACAAGGTACAGCTTGTTCAGCTTGGCCAGATGGCTGTAATGGTAGGGATCTAGCCATCACATTTTTTCATCCATTGCGGGACAACATGGCAGCCAAACACAACTCTCCTCCCTATTTGGCATCCCCCCAGCGCACTAAGAGGTTGCTTTGCAAATTTCTCTGTGGGCCCTACCTGTTGGGTCAATTGGAATAGAAGAATGTCGTGATGTGTCTTACACACTGTTTCCTTAACCCCATTGCTCAAACCCAGATACTTGAAAGAAAGCAAGGAAAGGGTCTCAGGAAGGATGCTTCCTTAACCCTATTCTTCAAACCCAGACTCCCTTGAAAGGAAGATAAGAAAGGGTCTCGGGAGAGGTGCTTCCTTAATCCTGTTCTTCAAACCCAGACTCAATTGAAAGGAAGAAAGGAAAGGACCCCAGGAATGGAAAGGGGAGCCTCGTAAGTTCCCAGTTCCCACCAATGGACTGGATCTTCCCAGATCTTTTGGCTGCAGACTGGAAATGGCTATTCGACAACCCACCCATTTTCGGGAGGTGTGTGAAATTGGATCTGTGGGTCTCCCAGAATTCAGCCAGCAGAAATGGATCAAGCCTACTCTCTATGAATTTACCAAGGTGGTTCAGTGCTAACTTAAAAATAAAGCATACAATAAAATTGCCTTGAGAATTTATAAAATTCATAGAGATGACATATTTTGTTGGATGCAGGGAGGTGAAACCATGACTACTAGCCCGACCAGTATGGAGGTCATTCTGTACATATATCTTCTTTTTTAAAAGCTATAGTAGTGACTCCCATTTTAAAAAATAAAGTACTTGCTTTAAAGGAAGCAGTGAAGGCAGTTTTCATTTCACTTATTTCAGTTGCTGAAGACATGAGCTATTGTGGGTCAATGCTTTCAAAATTAGGATCATCCATACTAATGAATGAGTCTGTTTGAGTCCTTAGGCTGTGTGAACTCATAACTTTGGCATGCCTCTATTAAGCAATTGTTATATGCATGCTTACAAATTTCTACAGTGGGTGTGTAGGGGTTGCTTCTATGAAATCTACTTTTGTAGGCATTTTTCCTTCTTCACTTGCTCCCACATTAGACCATGTGTTTGATTATACTTAAGCAATTTGAAAGTAAAACTATTCTTATATGTTTGATGAAGAAAACTAAGTGTATGTTTTCCTCTTCTTAACCCTGGGGTGGATTGGACTGGGAGTTTTGTTTTGTTTTTTTGCTTTCTGCTTTGCTGATTATTCTGCTTGGAAGCACCAGTACTGTCTTTCATGCTTCCCAAAAGACTGGGATTTGGTGGTATACTGCACCAGTGGTCCCACGTCTTCCAAAGTGTCCAGCAAAAGGAGGTAAATATATGACAGCTCCAAGCAGTACACTTCTCAATTCCTCTCTTTTGTGGCTGTTGCACACAAAATCTTTTTCTCCTATGCACATCCTAAGTGGGGAGAGTTAGGATGCTGCAGCATGCTGTATTGATCTGGTGGGCTTGTTTCACACAGGTCATACTCAATTTAGGTTCAAGGAATACAATGAGGTAAAACTAAGTCACCAAAATGCAAGATATAGCTTTATTAGTGAGTATATGGAAAAAAGGGGTTTTATAGCTCTTTGCCAAATGGTGACACAGTATCAAGTGCAGATGGTTCCTCGGTCTGCACTGATCATAGAATCATAGAATATAAAATCATAGAATCAAAGAGTTGGAAGAGACATCATGGGCCATCCAGTCTAACCCCCGCCAAGAAGCAGGAATATTGCATTCAAATCACCCCTGACAAATGGCCATCCAGCCTCTGCTTAAAAAAGCTTCCAAAGAAGGAGCCTCCACCACACTCCGGGGCAGAGTTCCACTGCTGAACGGCTCTCACAGTCAGGAAGTTCTTCCTAATGTTCAGATGGAATCTCCTCTCTTGTAGTTTGAAGCCATTGTTCCGCGTCCTAGTCTCCAAGGAAGCAGAAAACAAGCTTGCTCCCTCCTCCCTGTGGCTTCCTCTCACATATTTATACATGGCTATTATGTCTCCTCTCAGCCTTCTCTTCTTCAGGCTAAACATGCCCAGCTCCCCAAGCCACTCCTCATTGGGCTTGTTCTCCAGACCCTTGATCATTTTGGTCGCCCTCTTCTGGACACATTCCAGCTTGTCAACATCTCCCTTTAATTGTGATGCCCAGAATTGGACACAATATTCCAGGTGTGGTCTAACCCATGCAGAAGAGAGGGGTAGCATGACTTCCCTGGATCTACACACTGTACTCCTATTGATGCAGGCCAAAATCCCATTGGCTTTTTTTGCCGCCACATCACATTGTTGGCTCATGTTTAACTTGTTGTCCACGAGGACTCCAAGATCTTTTTCACACGTACTGCTCTCGAGCCAGGCGTCACCCATTCTGTATCTTTGCATTTCATTTTTTCTGCCAAAGTGGAGTATCTTGCATTTGTCACTGTTGAACTTCATTTTGTTAGTTTTGGCCCATCTCTCTAATCTGTCAAGATCGTTTTGAATCCTGCTCCTGTCCTCTGGACTATTGGCTATCCCTCCCAATTTGGTGTCATCTGCAAACTTGATGATCATGCCTTCTAGCCCTTCATCTAAGTCATTAATAAAGATGTTGAACAGGACCGGACCCAGGATGGAACCCTGCGGCACTCCACTTGTCACTTCTTTCCAAGATGAAGAGGAAGCATTAGTGAGCACTCTCTGTGTTCGTCCACTTAACCAATTACAATTGATAGATATTTTGTTTTCTTAGCTCCAGGTGGGCCTTCACATTCTTGGGCAAAGTGTAGTCATTTTCCTTTCTCGAGTCAAAGGAACGTCAGTGTACATTGAAGCCATGACACATGGGCTTTAGAGCAAGCTTGTGTGTGTGTATTATTGTAAAAGTGTGTGAATAGATAAGAAATTCTAGACTGCTGACAGATCTTCCACAATCAAATCTTGCTACATGTACCAAAATGATGGCAGTCTTTAGTGCCTTCATAGAGGCCAGTGCTTTTGCTTTGTCAAAAGCCAGGCATGATATAATAATAATGTAGACTCTGCAAGGAAGCGGATGAAACAATAGATCACATCCTCAGCTGCTGCAGATCACGCAGACAGACTACAAGCAGAGGCATAACACCGTTGCTCAGATGATTCATTGGAGCATGTGCCACAAATACCATCTGCCTGCCACAAAGAACTGGTTTTGGAGCACAATACTCCTGACCTCACTATAGTGTTAAAAACAAAGTATGGATTGTCGATGTTGCAATCCCAGGTGACAGCAGGATTGAAGAGAAACAACTGGAAAAGCTGACACAATATGAGGATTTAAAGATCAAACTGCAAAGACTCTGGCACAAGCCAGTAAAGGTGGTCGCAATGGTTATCGGCATGCTGGGTGCAGTGCCGAAAGACCTTGGCCTGCACTTAAACACAATCAGCACTGACAAGATTACCATCTGCCAGCTGCAGAGGGCCACCTTACTGGGATCTGCATGCATTATTCGCTGATACCTCACACAGTCCTAGACACTTGGGAAATGTCCAACTTGTGATCCAATACAACAGCCAGCAGAGTGACCTTGTTTGCTGTGGACTCATCTTGTTGTGTTTGAAATAATAATAATAGTAATAATAATAATAATAATAATAATAATAATAATAATTTATACACCACCCCATCTCCCTGTGGGGACTCAGGGCAGTTTACATACAAAAAGGCACTCAATGCCCAAGCATTGCAATACATTAAAGCAATATAACAAATACGAATGATGACATCAGCAAGCTAATCGCATAAAAGAATTAAACATCAAAACAGGGAACACTATACAAATAATCACAAAAACATAACACATTAAAAATAATCAACATTAAAACAACTATCATAGTAATAACAATTAAAATAGGTGAACATTGACTGTTACAGCTATTTCAAATAAGATTAAAACTAAGATCATGCGGTCTATCATTTCATCAAAATTAGATGTGAATTAGTCCTACAAAAAAGGTCTCCCAACAGATCTTTAGTATGGCAGAAAAGTGAATATAACCCTAAAGTATAATTTATATACAAATTAAAACCTGATAGCTACCCTGCCTCCACAGCACAAAGAATTTCTGGCAAAAGATTCTAAGAATCTTTATAATATGTTAATTATAAAGATTCTCAGAATCTTTTGCCAGAAATTCTTGGTTTATACCAGTAGCCTTGGACTGGAGCTGACCTGTGAGAATGTCTATACACTCATGTTTTAGTGTACTTCTTCAGGCACAAAAAGAAGACTAGGAGTTTGTTTCACTCCCTCACTACCACCACCACCACTGCGGCTGGCAAGGAATTGTCCTGGAAATGTGCTGTAGCTTATTTCAGGTGATGAAGTTAATCAACCACAATAATCTGGGGCTAAGGCTCCTTCCTCCTATCACTGTATTTACGTATCCCTCATCATTTCCTACCTTATGCTCCAAGGACCCCACTACACTATCCAATTAAAACACAATGATTCCACTTTAACAGCCATGGTAACATCCTATGAAATCATGATTTTTGCATTTTGGGAAGGATTATTTCAAATTTTCAGCCAAAGAGCACTATTACTCACCAAGCTGAAAATCTCGGGATTTCATAGTCTGTTGCTATGGCAGTTAAAGTGGAAATATAGTGCTCTAATTGTGTGGTGTACGAAGATCATAAGTTTAATCAGTCTGATATCTTAGTCATGGCATCATTTGTGCAATGGTCTCTTCTCTTTTCACAAATTGTAGCATTGTGGGGTAATTTTTATGTATTTTCCTATTGAACCATTCCTATTGCACTTCATCTTGTAGATTATATTGTGTAGGATTTTATATTTGTTTCCTTGTGTTGTCATACATTTTAGTTGCTCTGAGAACATATGCTAAAATGCTTGCCATAGTGGCACTATCTTTGCTATAGTTAATGCTTGAAGTAAATCAAATTTCCTAATGCAGAGAGGGGGGGGGGGGAGGGAGAGAGAGGGAGAGAGAGAGAGAGGAGTTAGAGTTTGTATGTCAAAATATATCTAGAATAGAATTTATTAATTAGTTCACAAAATAAGTCCAGTTCAGAATGCAGTAAAGACCAATGTTCTTAAATATTGCATGGGAAACATAGCATAGATGGATGATTACCTATCAAGAAACACATGAAACTTAAATGAAATGTATTTTATTCCAGTGCACTTTGTAATTTACTTTAAAATTAATAAGACCTAATTCTACACTGTGTACACAAATCATTCACTGTCACTGGCTTTCTGGTTGTTATATGACATTTGTAGGGTGGATGTAAAAGTTATTCTGTGATCGGCTAGACATAGAAAGTTACACTGGACTTGATTTTTCACTAATTTTTCTGGAGACAAGAAAGCAGGGAAGAATGCAGTTTAAAAAGTCCTTCAGGAAATTTCAGTAAGGCCTCTTTCTACACTGCCATATAATCTAGATTATCAAAGCAGATAATCTTCTACACTGCTATATAATCCAGTTCAAAGCAGATAAT